ATATATACATATATATATACATACATATATATATATACATATATATATATTATACATATATATATATATACATACATATATATATATATATATATCAATGAAAGTGTGTGCAGAAATATTACAGTGAAACAAAGATTAGGCCTATGTACACCAGTGGCGTCACGGAGTTTGTGCTGCCCTGGCGCTGATTGTCATTGGGGAGCCCTAATAAGCAAGCGAAGCGAGCGTTAACTTTGCGAGCGGAGCAAACAAACAGATGCTGTTGGAGTCAGGAGGCCGCGTAGGGCCCTGGTCGGAGTGCAGAGGTGACGGTCCATGGTGGAGATCCAAGCTTATGGCTTTTATGAACTGTTAACTGCGTTGTCAGAGAACATAATGATCCATGACTTTTGAAATATTTCAGAAAATTTTATGACAACACATAGATTACATAGGCCAACTTTCGGAACTGGAGGCTACAGTAGGCCTACTCTATGTAGGTGTAAATAAATACAGAGAATATTCTAGTGAGAAAGGCCGCAGCGTTGAGTAATGTGTTGGAACCCCAGACCATGAAATGTACCAACATTGGAGCACTCTCGCACTTCATACGTTTCTCTATAGTGTTTATTGCACAATTTTTCTCCTGTGTAGATACCGGAGTTTTCAGTAATAGGCCTATCGCAATCAACTGGCACAGACAGTTTTATGCAGACTGCCCAATAATGCGAATCATGAATTTTTGCTCAAAGTCATAAGCATGCGAAGTAAAAAACTTCGTAGTTAATTATTAAACTGTTCATGCGAGTAATAAAAAAAAAACAGAAAAAAATGCATTTTGGGCAAATTCACCTAGTAAGAGATTAGATCCGGTCCTCTACATTGCTCAAAAATAAATTTTTCCTGATCATTTTTTTTTTTTTGTTGCAAAAGCATTTGACCTCGATGCGCTTAACATAACCATAGAAAGAAAGTACAAAGAAAGTAATAATAAGTGAATAGGAATGTCAACTAGTCTGGCAGTTGTTAACAAGTGTCATAGTAGTTAACTATACCTAGTGGCGTTGAGTAATAATTGACATGAGGAAGAGGGAACTGATGAGAAATAAACATTTATATAGGGGACAGGCTCGTGGTACATGAACCCATCGGGAAATTCTGGACCTTATTTATTTTATCCTAGAAAACATTCTAAGTTAAAACTTTGAAAAAAAAAAAAAGTTAACTCCAAAGCTGTAACTTATCAAGAAACAAATTTATTTGTATTTTAGAATTACATAATAAGAGGGCCATTTCAGGGCATCTGTTGTGTTTATTTTAAAAACTTACTTACCTCATCCCCAAACATGGTGGAGCTGATGTAGTGGTCCCCTTTTGGTGCTCGGGATATTTCTAATGGTAGACTACAACTGGGGGTGCAGTATGTTTAGAGCCCATCCCTTCTGTATTCGATATTCCACTGCATAACACAAAAACAAAAAAAAACAAAAACAAAAAAAACAAAAAAAAAACCCGGAAATGGGCGGGGCTGTCATTGAAAAAGAAATATGTCGACCCGCGGCTGGTCTCAACAAATTGGAACTGGCTACGAGCTTAAAAAGGTTGAATACCCGAGGCCTAATGGGAAAGGACTGCCGTACGAGTACGAGGGCACATTAGCGCCGGCACGTAAACAATAAGGAAGGAAAAGAATACATTGTATTTATTTCGAATTACTATAAGTGTTTATTCACATTTGGGATAAAAACGAGTATTTATTTTGTTTTACGACTAGGCATATCATAGGATTATACGTGTACTTTTGCTGGTCTAATCGAGTTCTACTTGTTTCCCTGCAAATTTTCTATTGTATTACTAGGCAGGCCAGGCTTAAGCATAAACATCAGCGGAACATTTTTTTTTTTAAGGGCGGGGGGCGGGGGAGGTTTCAGCCATTCCCCGCAACCCCCAACCTACGCCCCTGCACTTTATGGCGTAGCTTTGTCAATTATGGACCATTTGATGTTGAATTGGGTGTTTCCATACAAGTTTTGATAATTCGGTGCTGTTGTTATGCTTCGGAGAGTTATAAATGTGTGCTTATGATTTGTAACATGGTTTTGAAAGTGTTGTATGTAAGTCCGACGTACTCTTTGACGTCATCATGTGGTTACGGTGGCCTTGTAGATAATTGAAGATGCGAGGCAGTTTCCTGATAGGGGGAATACATGTTTCTTTCGGCAGTCGCATGTATTAGATGGTTCTTGACGGTTTGGTATGTAACAGGGGCGGATCCAGAATTTTTCAAACGGGGGCACAACATATTCAGAATAGATAGGTGAGATATTTGCCTTGAAATTTTACAATTTAGTGGCAAAACGGCCCCCTACTGGACCCTCCCTTGGCCGAAAGAAAGAGACGAATATTTGATAAACGTAGCAGGTGCTACCGAAGATTTCGTATCAATAAATAAATATCAATGTCTCAATTAAGTCAAAGTCACATATATATATATACACTCGACATAACCTTTCTATTACTATATATATACGTATATATACACTTATATATAGTTGCATATAATATAAATTTCTTTATTCATTTATTTATTACAGGACTACATTCGTTGAGAGCTATATGCTACACGATGTATTATTATGTCCTTATTCTAACACTGTATTTACCTTTCTTTGATGATATTATATATATATATATATATATATATATATATATCCATGTAGTGCACCTCCGTTTAGACCGATTGTATCGTCCATAGATACCTACAATTATGGGCTTGCAAAGTTTTTATGCAGCATATTACAACCTAATTTACCTGTTGATTTTAGTGTTAGGGATACCTTCACTTTTGTTATACCATTAGAAATATTAATGTATGTTATAAGTTTATGGTTTCGTTTGATGTTGAAAGTTTATTTACGAACATTCCACTTAATTAATCGATAGACCTTGCGGTAGACTACATTTTGGAACACCCACATAATACTTTTAATATAACTATATCTGATCTTAAAAGATTGATCATGTTCGCAACCTCTCAAACTCATTTTTTGTTCAATGGTTCATATTATGATCAAGTGGATGGGGTATCAATGGGGTCCCCTTTAGCCCCAGTGCTTGCAAACCTATTCATGAGGCACCATGAATAGATCTGGCTTGATCAATATCATGGACCTAATGTGCTATTCTATCAACGGTACGTTGACGATATGTTTTGCCTATTTAATTCAGAAACTGAGGCTAATTCATTTTTTCAATATTTAAACTCACGTCATAACAACATAAAATTCACAATGGAAACTGAAGTGGAAAACAAACTTCCCTTCCTTGATGTCCTAGTTTCAAAATCTACTAACGGGTCCACCCAAACCAATGTATATCGAAAAAACACTTTCACAGGATTACTCACAAATTTCTTTAGTTTTTGCTCTTTTCCATACAAAATTTCATTGATTCGTACTTTAGTCGACAGAACTTATAAGATCAACAATAATTGGATAGATTTTCATAGTGACCTCAAGGCTCTAATTGTTATCCTTAGAAAAAATATGTTTCCAATGTATTTAATTGACAAAATTATATCTAGATATCTTATCTTTATTCACTCCGATAACAAACAAACGAACGAAAAAAAAAATTGAATATACGTTATTTCAAGTTGCCTTACACTGGTAAATTTTCTAAAGTTATTTCACATAAGATAAATGCTTTAACAAAACAGTTTTGTAATGATTTAAATATCAAATTGGTTTTTTCTTCATTTAAAATTAGAAATATGTTTTCTGTGAAAGATCCTGTTCCTTGTGGTCTACGTTTTAACGTTGTGTATAAATTCACGTGCGCAGGCTGTAATGCCTGTTATATAGGCGAAACTGGCCGACACTTTGCAACGCGCGTTAACGAACACATGACCACGGACAGAAACTCGAACATTTTTAAACATCTTAATAGCTCATCCCAATGTAAAACCTCATGCAACGAAGATTGCTTTCGTGTATTGTGTTCCGCTTCAACAGCCAGCCAAAGAAAAATCAAGGAGGCGTTGCATATAAAATGGGACACGCCCTCTCTCACACACAATTACGTACACGTACATGTATATACACACAAACATACACACCATACGTACACGTACATGTATATATACACCTGTCTCTTATACACATCTGTGC